ATTACGGGTATTTAAATGTTATTTCCAAAAACCCTTTAACACCAGAAGCGGCTGTGTATTTATGCTTTTCAAGAGGGCATCACAAGATTTAAGTCCATACCTGCATCAACAGATGAAAATTAACCCAGCACTACACAAACTATGGACAGCCACATGCCCCTCGTATCCTTCCAAACATCACATGCAACTACTCAAGCAGCCGAGCCAAGCACCGAGGAATCCGACCCAAAAGAGGCCCACGGCCCTTATACGTTCAAGGTCAACGCAAGACGGCTTTGTCAGCCCAGCTCCGAGCTTGCTCCCGGATAGGTTGCGGGCCCGGGGAAGCCCGTCTACGACAGGCGAAGCCAAGGCCCCGCCGGCAGCGCCCGTCGCCGCAGGTGTCGGGATGGGGGTGTGAGGGGAGGCTGGGACGGTGACAATCTACAGCCTCGAAACCCCTCCGGCCGCTTTGCGCTAGGGGGGACAGCACCGGGGAGCAGAGGCCACGGAGCGGCAGCAGAGTGATGCAGGTGCCACAGGTTAATTGATGCCGAGCAATTAACAGGCTAACCGCTTTCCCCAGGCTTCTCGGCACCACCGACACGGCCCAACCTTCGCCCTCCGCGATGATGCCCGCGGCCTGGCACTGTGAGGGAAGAGGAGAAGAGAGGGCCGGCTCCAGGGGCGGACCCCTTTCGGCTGCGGCACCCCTCCCCAACACAGGCGCGGAGACCGGGAGGGAGGAGGGGAGCGGCCACGGTCCAGCCCCGCAGCCTACCCGCAGCGGAGGAAGGAAGAGAAAGAGGAGGAGGAGGGAAGGGACTGAGTGCCGGGCCGAGCGGCGTTACCTGAGCTACCCGAGCCGGAAGAGCCCGACCGCCACCAGCACCCCCGTGCCGCCCTGACAGCTCCCGGCATGCACTGCGCCGCACCTCCTCCGCGCCGCACAACGCCCTCTGGCGGGCCGCCGCCGGAAAGGCGCGCGCGGGAGAGAGAGGGAGGAGCGGTGGCGCAGCCCCGCCTTCGGTGTGGTGGTGGGAACCGGAGTGGGTGACGTGAGGGTGGTCTGCTCGCCGTGACGTGCGCTGGAACGTGGCATTGCGGCTTCATGCTGTTGAAGCGCTACGTACAGGGGAGACGTGGAAGTGGGCACATGTAGACCACATGATGGAAATAAACATAAGAGGCGTATATATGTATATATGTATGTATTTATTTTGCCTGATCTTTACCTAGCTCACCAAATACAGCACATGTAAAAATGTAAGGCAAGGTTAGAAATATTTAGAAAATATTTTCAGTTCTATGAGTAGCGGCTGTATTCAGAATTTTCTAAAATCTACTCTGGTTTATATGCTTGACCATCCTTATGACACAGAAGGGTGAGGGTGGGGTGCTCACCTGGACCACACTGGGTGGAAGTTTTCATTTCAAGAGGATTCTCAAGTGAGCAGTTCCACAGGATGAAGGGGACGCTTCTTAGATTGCAATCTTTGAGTGTCAAAGTCATCGTTTTGGCTCTCAAGTTTAAGCAGGCTTCATAATTGCAAACAGTTATGGTTATAAATTACTTCACTAACCAAAATCAGAAAGTGCATTCAGCTTCTGTAATAAATCTTCTAGACTTTGTCTGAAGACAATACATATTTCTGAAATATTGCCAGGGGAAAAGCTTGTAATATTTATAAATGTTCTACTCAGAGTCTTATGTTATCATCCAATACTTTATGAAATCTAGTTTTATTCTCCAGGCTTGGGATAATCATAAAGAGGGAATGCCATTCCTTTTCTCTAATATTAAACTATTCCACGATTCATTAGGTGAGAAACAGTTACTTTTTGGAAAGCTGACAATTCCCACTGGTTCTGAGGCCAGAGTACAAATCTGCAGGTCATGTATTTCCAATTAAGATGGTGCGTTTACATTTACTTTTCTTTAAAGATACCTACAAATGCATTTGAGATCTAATTCTTTGGGCTGGAACTAAAAGCTGATGCTTTTGGAGCTGTTTAAAAGTGATCTTCACAAAGGCAATGGTACTTTCAGTAACTATATTGTCTCATGCTCCCACACTGTGAAGTGGTTGGAGTCCTAAGCTTTCCTTTCACTGAATTCAGCAGTGGTGGTTACATCTTGGAGGTCTGAAATTGTCTCAACAACTTCATGTGCAGTGGCAATCAAAAAACTCCCACAAAACATATGCTATTGAGAAGAATATTGAGAATGAGATAGAGGTAGTTGTTGGGCTGCTGTTGGGCTGCTGGCAGTGCAGCCTCAGAATGATTGCTGCATCAGTTCTTGTCTTCATAGCTCAAGAAGGATGTGGAGTTTTTAGGGGAGGCACAGAGGAGGAATGGCACTGCTGCCTTACAGTAAGAGCAGTAGCAGCTGCAACTGTTCAGTACAGGGAGAGCAGGCTGAAACAGGCTGAGAGAGTTGGGGTTGGTCAGCCTGGAGAAGAGAAGGCTCCAGGGAAGGCTCTTAGAGCAGCCTTCCAGTGCCTAACTGAGACACTGGAACAGGTTACCCAGAGAAGCTGTGAATGCACATCCCTGGCAGTGTTCAAGACCAGGTTGGGCAGGGCTTGGAGCAACCTGGCCTAGTGGAAGGTGTCCTTGTGCGTGGCAGGGGGGTTGGAACTAGACAATCTTTAAGGTCCCTTCCAACCCAAACCATCCTATGATCCTGTGAAAACAGTGGATGATTGTTTTTGAGATGTGTAAAGGAAACACTTTTCTGCAGTTTGTGAACTTTTAGAACATACTGCTACCAGAGGTGGTCTGCTGTCCGTAAGCTGAAGAAGGCATTATTCATAATGATGGCAAACACATCTGTAAGTTGTCACTGAAGGAAACAGGCATCCCTAATAGAATGAGATGGAGGGGAAGTACTGCGAAGTGACCCCACTGCAGAGCTCTTCCTAAATAGTACATCCTTTTATTGACATAGGAGTCAAAATACTGGACTAAGTGCACCACTGGTGCTAGCTGTGCTCACTCTGTTCGACATTTACCTTCATTTCTGTGTAATTATTTCACTACAGAAATGGTGAGAAACCTATAATAACCTATAGACAATTTCAGATGAAAGAAGCTCACACCCTGTGAATACTTAAGATTATTCATAACTTTGTAGCCTTGTGTAAGCCTTTGTAAAGGCAGGACCTGAGGCCCTTTCAATAAGACTAGGAGCCGATTCTCCTGTAATTACATGGATTTTATATCTGACGTGTGACCTGCTTGCTCAGAACAATTTAACCTGCCATATGTACCTTGCTTTGTGGAGTAATTAGAAATGAAAGCCACCATGTGGACTAAATATTTTTCTTCCTAAAAAGAGCAAGCAAACAATAACAACAAAATCCCCAAAACACCACCCTTAGAATTGCATGTGGAAAGTATGGTCTGCATCTTTGAATACTTAGAATTCCTGCTCTGTAAAACAAACAAAAAATACTGGTTGAGGCAGTTTAGCTGACTTGTCATATTTCTCCTACAAAACCTAACCTTATTCCATCTGCTTTGGGACTCTTCTAAGAGATCTATGTGGCTTTGCCAACTCCATGATTACTTCAAGTGATCTTGTCTTACACAGTAAATTACTATGAAATTGAAGAGTACAAATCTGCCTTTTTGTTTGAAGCTTTGCAGGTCATGTCTTCAAACAGCTCTCTGCAATCACAGAAGGTCTTGTGACATTCATAGAAAGTAAACACTTCACAAAAACTTTGCAAACAACTTAGGTGTTTGGGTTTGTTTTTCAAAGCAAAAGCTTCTTTTCTTGGTGTCCTTGAACACAGACCATCAGCAGCCTCTTATATGCTGTGAGGCAGGCATGCTGCATGAAGTGGGCAGAGGTGACAGTGCTCATGAGTTAAGGGACAGTCATGCAGGGATATCAAGGTGGAGTAACAGCCTCTGGGTACAAGACCTCATGAGAGGCAGTAAGAAGCACCAGAGCAGCAGATGCCTGTGCCAAGGGTGTGTCTGGTATGAGTGCAGCGTGACAGCATTCAAGAGCTGTGTGAACCTGGATCAGGAGGAATTTGGGTGGACTTGGAATATTGCAAGAAAGGATGGAGAGGGGGTTGTTTGCAAGGGCAAGGGTGGGTGGTGTTGCAGTGACATGCCACAGGATGCAGTCCCCACCACTCGGTAGGGAGCCTGCCCCTGGGTTGGCAGAGGCCTCTGCTCAGACATGGTGGTCTGACCTGGGCCAGCTGCTAGCTCACTGCTCTGCAGGAGATCCAGAACAGCAAGAAAAGTTGTGGGTCAGGGTAATAATGGTAAGTGAAGATGAAAATAACCCCCCCAAAAAACACACAATCACTTACCAAATCCCACAAGCAGACTGCTGATGCCCAGCCAAATCTCCAAGCAGTGGCCACTTCGGAAAGACTGCCTCCCCAGTTCTTATTGCTGAGCATATTGCTATGAGCTATGGAATATCTCTCTGCTAAACTCGAGTCAGTTGTCCTACATCTCCCCTACCCCAGCTTCTTCTGTCTCCAGCCTACTTGTTGGGCCAAGCAGAGTGAGACACTGAGGTAGCCTTGGCAGTGTACAGAGGCTGCTCAGGGAACAGCCGAAACACTAGTGTGGTACCAAAGCTGTTCAGTCACAAGTCCTAAGCACAGCATCATACGGAGCGCTGTGAGGAAACTCCATCCCAGCTTAGGGGTGGTGGGACTCACCACAGCTCCCAGTGCCTATGGGGAGGTGCCAGAGAAGCTGAACGATTCTCCTCACAGCGGTGGAGTGGCAGGACAGGCAGAAGTCGACACACAACAGGTTCAGGCTGGGCATAAGAAAACCCCGTGAGGTCAGCCGAGCCCTGTAGCGGCTGCTCGCCCGGACAGTCTGTGCAGGCCTCGCGCTGGACGCTCCGGGACCTGGAGGGACCCAGTCCCGGGCACAGCGACCCGACCCTACAGCGGAGAGCGAAGCGAGCGGGTGGTGCGCGGCAGCCACTCTGGGGGGCCGCCGAGCTGCAGGAGGCGCTGTGGCGGGCGGGCGCTCCCCGCGTGCACAGGGCTGGAGCGTCGCTTCCTGGGCGAGCCGCTTCCGTGCCGGCATGGCGGCGGGGCTGCTGCTGGAGATCAGGCGCGGGACGCAGAGCGCGTTGCTGGTTATCCGGTAGTGCGGGGCGCTGCCCGCCTTCCGCTACTCGGGCCGTGCGAAGCGGCCGGTGCAGGGGGAGTGGAGGGTAGAGGGTGGGACGGCGGGTCTGGCTTTTAGTGTCCCTAGCCTTGAGCGGGAGGTGGTGGTGGTGGTATAACCGGCTTGTGCACCGGAGCCTCCCGCTACTCTTCTCTTCTTGCGCAGCTCGGAAGAGCTTGACTTACTCTGCAAATAAATGCTTCTTGAGAGCGGTGCTTTATTTCTCTCGATTGCTGTTCGCCCCGAGAGGAGACCCCAATTTACCGCGTGGGTCCCGGGCCGCGGCGGAGCTGCAGGCTGACCCAGTGCTCAGTGTACCCGGGCTGCGGGCGAGGCGTCCCGCGACTCCTCTACCTGACGCTGAGGCTGTACAGCGATGCGGGGGCTTAAGCCCAGCTCAGGTCCCTTGGCCCTGGGGTCCTTTCCTCCCTCTTTGTCCTGCCTGCATCAAGCAACAGCTCGCTCTGACACCGCCTCTCAGAGGTAAACCCCTGCTTTGCGTCCCTAGCGAGACGGATCCCCCGAGCTCGCCGGTGGATATCTCGGTGGCCGCGGACCGTGTGGAAGTGAAGAGCGGCGGGAGCTGCGAGGCGGCGATGTTGCCGCCAGAGGTCAGACTAGCCCCGTCCTCCTGCCGGGGCCTCCACCGCCTCCCAGGCGACGGCCTCCACCTGCGCATGCGCCTGCGCTGCCCGCCTCCGGGCGCTGGTAAGGAAGGTGTGCGGAGCGGGCGGGGGACAGTGTAGCCCGTGGCCTAAAGAAGATGCTGCCTGCTTAGGGTTACCTGAGACCTTACAGCTTTAAATCATACAGTCACGGGGTGGTTGGCATTGGAAGGAGACTTAAAGGTCGTCTAGTTCCAATCCCCTGCCACGGACAGGGACCCCTTCCACTAGACCAGGTTGCTCAAAGCCGCACCAAACCTGCCCTTGGACGCTGCCAGGGATGGCGCAGCCACACCTTCTCCGGGCAACCTGTGCCAGCGCCTCACCATCCTAACAATAAAAAACATCTTACGTCTGATCTAAGTCTACCCTCTTTCAGTTTAAGCCATTCCCTCTTGTCCTGTCACTGCATGCCCCTTTAAAGGAACATGCTGTTGCTTTTTCTAAAATGCTCTTTAGCTCTGAATTGAAGATTTAAATAGGAACTGGTAAAATTTAGTAAGACTGTCAGTTTTAGAAAATGAAAATCACAGAAAGTGGCATAATGAAAGGGAAACAGTTGCTGAGTAAGTGTTCTGTGTAGGTGTTTGAGAACTGCTCTCAGTTCCTCCCCCGTGCTTTTCCCAGATTACTTAAAAATTATTTCCTTTCCCTCCTATTTTGTGTTTGGTAGCTGAAAATGCAGTAACATGATTCATCCAGTCTATCGTGCTAAGGTTGTCATAGGCCACTTCATCACAAATGATTGTGATTTTGTGTTGGAGCTTGTTTTCCCTGCCTTAGTTTGCAGAGTTTGTTGTTGCAGGTAACATAGGCAAAGTTACTTTCTTTATTTCCACGATGCTAATTAAGATCTGGCATGTGATTGCATAGTAGCTGGTGTTTTAATTCTACCATCGAAGTTCAATAAGTTTAGATTTATTTAATAGGTCATGATACAGAAAGATATATTAAATAACACAAAATTGTCATTCTGTGGTTTTGAAGTAGATACTACCAATAAAGTATGTGATGTGCAATGATGGCTTCAGCACCAGAAACATGGTGGAATACTTTTTTGATTTTATGGTATGCCAAGGTTGTATCTTTACATTAATCAGTAATTATGCATATACTTTGACAGTTTAATTATATAAAAATTATTTAATGTGTCTTAATTAATGAGGCATGTTTCAAAAGACCGAAGATCAGGTTTTTTAAATTTACCTTTGAAAGTCATTCCAATGAAAAACGTGTATGCAAACCAGATGGTAATTGATACATGCCTTGGATAACCTTAGTTACCTTTAATATTTTGTATTAGTATGGAAAACCAGTTGTCTCTTCCATGAAATTCTTCAGCCTTTTAAAGTACTTTTCGTATGTGCTTTCAATCTGAATCTTAAATACTGAATGTCAGTGCTGAGAATATACTTTGATTCTTAAGCTTGAGAAAGTGGGCAGCTCAAAACATAATCATATATAGATCTAGGCTTACAGTTTTACTTTTCTCCACCTCATGTTATTTGATGATTTGTGGAGGCTTTTATAGCTCCTTTTTAATTTGGAAAAGTTGTCTAAGCTGGCTTTTGTGAGACTGTTTTTGCTTTGCTGGCCTGCAGAGGGTATTGCTCGCTATCTGTTCCTCAGGTGGTCCCACAGTGGTTGGTATCTTACCTGCCTGAATATTTTAAGTTAATGTACTCCTCCCTCCTCCCCCCCTCCAAGCTCTGACTATTTGGGGTTACATATTGTGATGTGTCCTCATACTGCAGAGACACTGATTAGCAGAAATATCATTAAAAACGGTGGCATTGAATTTTAATTTATAGTATAACATATCAATACCTCATCTCCCCCTGTGGAGAGGATTTGCACCTTTAAAATAATTATTCATGTATTCTTAGCAGTATGGGGCATGAGGTGGAGATGGCATGTTTTTCCTAAATCTCAGTACTTGCTTCTACAGGAAAATAAATAAAGGCAGTGTTTAAAATGTCAGCATTTGTTTTGTTTGTTAGATTCTCAGATTTTATTAGTTTGAGGTACTTGGCAGGATTTTTTTTGTACAAGTGTCTGAAAGTTTTACCCAGTTTTTAAGACTAGTATATCTTCTATCTACAGATTTGGTTTCTACTTGGAGGGAAAGCCTTAAACCACAGAAGAATTATGTCTTTTACTGTCAGTCGTGTGGTGACATCATAGTAAAAGACCGGTGAGTACTGCAGTGTCTTGTATTTGTAGTGATAAATGCCATAGTGCTTGATATTCATGTTATTTTGTGTACTTAGAGAGACACCTGAAAGGTATTTAGTTTGAAATTGATAGATGAGAACACTTTTGAAGCGCTATGGATGACTAAAAGCAAAATTACCTGTAACAGTTTTTCACCATTTACTCATTTATTTCTTGATTTCATTCTGTCTGGAAAGTAGAAACACCTTACAAAGGGAGTTGATGCTTTGCCCTGGAACCTGGGAAATCTGGATTCTTTTCCTGCTTGTCTTTGAGTGACAAGCTGGACTTTTGTAGCTGGACTTCCCTAGGTGTAAAATTTCTGCTTTGAGAGCTATGCTTTTTGTTCATACAGAATCTCTTTGCAGTCATCATAATTGCTTCTTGTTTTGTGGTGCAAACAAAAAGCTGTAACATTTTGGCTTGAAAATATTGCAGATGGTCATAGTTTTCATTGATTTAAAAATACATATAGTCTATTAGCAGTTGACATTTTTGGTATGTTGAAGAGAATAAAAGTCAGAAAACTTGAGCCTGGGCTTCTTTCTTTCTCTACACTTTCAGGGATCCTCTTCAGTTCTGCTCAGTCTCTTATAAATTCCCTTCAGTCATCATGCTGTAATTGTAGAATGGTTGCTCAGAATGGGGATGTTGACCACGGTTCCCTTCTATCTCTTAAGCAAAGCCAACCTTCACATAGTTCAGGGATGCTGAATTTGGGAAACACAAGAGCTGTTTCTTAGCTGTGTAACTCAGCTTTACTTCTCTTCCTTACAAAGTCTGCAGAGTGAAAGAGAATTTTAATAAAAAGCTACTGCATTTTCTGGCTCTTCTGATAAACAATTTTGACAGCTTCAGCTGCATATATAAGAACTGTTAGAGATGCACCTGCAGCCTTTATGATGTATGTCACTCCTAATACACATAATGATAACAAAAATGTGGTAAACTCCTGTTACTTTCTTGTCCTATATATGGATTTATGGCTGGCTTGAATGTAACTGAGTGAGGATTTCCTGACTTTCTCCTCTGAAATGTCTCATCAGAAAGTCTAGTAATAAGTCTTATTTTGATACATTTGTAGAGTAATGAAACTTCTAATTTCTAGTCAGTAACATTTGCTTTCAAAACATTTTGTACTTTTGTATTTTTGTCTCTGAGTGGGTGTTTTCCTGAATTTCAGCACATCAAATTCATATGCATGGAGTTTACGTCTTTTGGTTCTGCATCCTATAAAGTGATGCAGTCAGAGTTTTTGATAAAGGAAAAAGGAAGAAGGCATTTTCATGGCTCTTTGCTTGGTATTTCTCCTTGCAGGAAACCTTTGAGCCCCTCAAATGGTATCACTAAAAATTATTAAGACAAAAGAGTGGAGCTGCCAGTGTATCCAGCACCTTCTGTTCCAGCTCTTTCAAAAGGAAGACAGGAGTGTAGTCAGTACTTTTAGCTACAAAATTTGTGTTTGGTCTCCCCAGGGAGAGTGAATATAACAGTGGTAGCACAGGCCCTGTGATTGAAGGGAAGTTACAGAACTGTTTGAGGGGGAACTAACTGAAGTGTGAATTAATAGGAAAGTGTCTATAATAAGAAAAAAACTAGTGTCTAGAAAATTCTACCTTTGGGAAGAAATTGAAATAAATGGGATTTATTTTAGATAAGGCTGTGGAGAAGATGCAAGACTTCCAATGCGTAAAAAGTTGTTGCAAAGAAGGTGGCAGTAGTCTTCAGCTGAAGTGAGAGGAATTTAGCTTAAAAGAAAAAAACAACAAACCAACCCTCAAATGTACTCTAAAGCTTTTTGTTTTTACTGTTAGAGACTGCAGAGGAAGCCATCATTTTAAAGACTGGATTAGAGAAATATGTTAGTAATGGCTTAAATGTAAGTGCTTCTTCCTTGATGCAAGAAAATGGACTCTATACCTGTCTTAAAATCCCCTGGCTTAGTCTATTTCTTTCCATGAATTTGATAGCTCTTCAGAGGCTGAGGTTATGCTGTTGGATTCTTTTCCATTACCCTTACATTACCCCCATTAGAGTGCCCCTTCTCACTGGCAGAGCATGAGAGACTGAAAAGAACTTGATCAGGGTAAGTGCTACTTAGCAACAACTAAAACATCGGTGTGCTATCAGCACTGTTCTCAAGACTAAAACCAAAAGGCAGCACTGCAGCAGGTACTAGGAATAAAAATAACTCTATCTCAGCTGAAACCAGGACAATTATCAATCAAATCAAAGCAGGAAATAAGAAATGAACCCTAAATCTTAAAAACACCTTACCCCAACCCTCCCTTCTTCTGGGCTTCGTTCCTGGATTCTCAACCTCTTCCCATCAGTGGTACAGGTTCAGTCAGTTCATCACATGTCTCTGCCACTCATTCCTCCTCAAGGAGGACTCCTCACATTCCTCCCCTGCTCCAGCATGGAGTCCCTCCCATGGGAAACAGTCCTGCATAAACTTCTCCAGCGTGAGTCCTGCCCCAGACCGCAGTTCTTCACACACTGCTCCGATGTGGGTCCCTTCCATGGGGTACAGTCCTTCAAGAGCTGACTGTTCCAGTGTAGGTTCTGCCCCAGGGTTGCAAGTCCTGTCAACAAACCTGTTTCAGTGTGGGTCCTGCCAGGAGCCTGCTCCAGCACAGGCTTCCTACAGGGTCACAGCCTCTTTTGGGCACATCCCCCTGCTCCAGTGTAGAGTCCACCATGGGCTGCAGGTGGAGATCTGTTTCACCATGGACCTCCGTAGGCTGCAGCGAACAACCTGCCTCACCATGGGCTGGAGGGAAGTCTCTGCTCTGGTGCCTGGGACACCTCTACTCTCCTTCACTGATACTGGTGTCTGCAGAGCTGTTTTTCACACATATTCTCACTCCTCTCTCCAGGCTGCTGTTGCACAGCAGTTTTTTCCCCATCTTAAATATGTTACCACAGAGGCGCTACCACCATCACCGATGGGCTCAGCTTTGGCCAGCAGTGGATCTGTCTTGGAGCCATTTGGCATTGGCTCCATCAGATACTGGGGAAGCTTTCAGCAGCTTCTCACAGAAGCCATCCCTGTAGCCCCCCTCAGCTAACAAAACTTTGCCATGCAAACCCAGTACAACTGATAATGAAAGCAAAGTCTGGTATTGCCTGGAACAGCTTCTTTGGTCTATACAGTCTCAGAAGAAAGGGATTTGAGTTTTATTTTGCATGTGACTTCTGAAAGTTGAATCTTGAATCTAAATCTAAATTAAGATTGTATTATCCTTTTTTTTTTTTTTGATGAAGGTATTCTGTGGTATTTTTGTCAGGATTTAGCTTTTTCCAAGTCTGGTATTTGACTTTGAGGGGCTTCAGAGGACGTGCTTTCCCTTGCTGTTGCAGCAGTCTGTTTCTGTAGTTTTTATATCAACATTTGGTGCAAGGAAACTCTACAAGAAGTAATAATAACTGTAATTGCAAAATATCCATTGTTATATTTTTCATGACTGGCTAGAACTGTTTTATTTCTGCAAGGTGATGCATTTCAAGAGAGTTTATGCCAATTTCTGCCTTACAATCATTGGAGATTCCCCCTTGGGAAATGCTTCATCACAAACGTAGGAGGAAAAATACAGCCATTGCTTTCTCAAAAAGCATACAAGGAAAGTGTTTCTGACTGAAAGGAGGTTCAAGCACTTCCTTTTGAGAAAATGCTGTACTTCCCACTTTTTTGTAAGGAGTCTAAGCTCTCTTTTAGTGTCTTAGAAAATAATGTAATATATCGAAATACATTTTTTCTTCTTCCCTTTTAGGAAATTCCTCAGAGTGCTTCCTCTACCAAGTGAAAACTGGAGTGCTTTAGTTGAAGAGTGGTGTTGTCACCCCAACCCCTTTGCCAGAAGCACTTTGCACCCTCAGCATGGTGACTGTTTTCTTGGTGACACTTTTTTTCTGATGCATTCAGGGAGTGAATCACATGTGCCTGAATCTCCCATGTGCTGCTCAGAGACTGGACACCATACTTCTCAGAGTTGCTCCAACTTGGTAAAGTATTTTGTTTGAATAATTCTTAAGTGAATGTATTTGGACTTTTTTCATTGTAAAACACTTTTTTTGTCATTTGTTTATTTAATTTGTATGTATTATAGAGCTGTTTTGAAGGTCCTAGGAAGTTGTTGACATTCTCTTGTACAGAAACCAGAAAATATTCTAAGCTATGATTTACATTTACTAAAGCATGCACCATGGTCTTGATATTGACCTAGATATGCAAGAAGAACGTCTTCCTATAAACTGAATTAGAAACTATTTAATTATGTAGTTCTAAACCCGAATATTTCCCCAAAAATATATCCCAAGTGAAGGACACCAACATTTAGTGAGATAATAACTGTAATGGGTTAAGCATTTGTCAAAGGATAGTGGAGTGAAGAATGAAGAGGAAACTGGATTAATGCCGCTTCTTCTTAAATTGTGACTGGATGCATAACCATAAATGTGATCAAAGGAAGGTATGATTTTTATTAATATTTTTTTCTTTTTTTGTAGCTCTAGAAAGAAAAATCAGAATGAGTTTTGGGTTCAGATGTGGCTATTTTATACTCTTAGAATATAGTAAGAAAATGGAGTTTGTTTGACTAGCTCTGTCTAGTGAAAGTGACTTGCCACTGCAGATTATAACTCTTCATGTTAATGTTTCTGAGATGTTCTGTGGGGGATAGATCCTAGTGTTGATCCTCTAGGAAGAAGACTGTCATTTGCCTTAGGAATACCAAAATTTATTGTTGCCCAGGAAAAGAAGAATTCGTAGGGATAGTGATGTTTCAATGGCTGGACAAAGCCCACGGAGAAAGAAAATTCAGTGCTTTACTCATCTTGGAAATCTACCAGTTGTATAAAAGGTCAAGAATATGCAGGTAGTTCACCAAAGCCTACATTTCAGTAAAGCCTTTTCTATTAATCTTCTGCTTGTCTGTATTTGTGCTGACAAAGTTTGCACCTGTAGATACCATCTTTTCTTCAAATACCATGTGTTATGCCTAATTACTGAAATCCTTCTGCAGTTGTGGGAATGGTTGCTGCCTTGGCAATTTATGCCTCTTGCAGCTGATTACTAGCTATGTACAGATTCCCAACCTGAAACTTTTAATCTGTTGAGAAGTAACACCAGAGACTCTGATTCCTGCCTGCTGCTTATCATCATTAGGGATTTGTACTGTTCCCCATTAAATCACTGGAATTCTCACAGGTCAGTGGTTGCTGGTGCAATGCATCCCAGCAAGCCATCAGCTTGGGGAACAGTTCTGTCCTACAGTCGCTATCTGCAGGTGTTGCAGCTTTGGTCTTTGGTTTCTCGTTCCATTGTTCTTTGAAAAGCACAATATGTGGGGAGGAAAATAAGAACTGATACCCTGAAAGGATATCAGCATGGGAGAAGCAGATTAATTTGGATTAACTCTGTGGCAGTTGAAGTTATTTTTTCTAAGTACCCTTAAGAAGGGGCCTGAGCAGAAGATTCTGAATTTCCAGGAGGACAATGCTTTCTGCCAGAGATCTCCAAAATTAATTATCTCACATTTCAGTAGTCTTAAAAAAGGTCTTAGAACAATGGGAACAAAGACAGGAAGAAGCGGGGTTCATGGAGTTCATATTGCAGCCCAGAGACAGGGGAGCACTCTGCCCAACACTCTTCTTCAATCAACCAAACAGAATGTTTGCCAGAATAGGGTTGGTTTTGGGGCAGAAACGGGCTAAAAGGATGTGGGACAAAGATGTTACTGACACGTGGGTCAAACCAGGAAAACAGCAGAACTTTTGAATAAGGGAGGAGGCTATTTTCTGTCAGAGGCATACAGTAGTAGTTTAGTGTGATGAATTTTCATGTTTGCTTCCTAAACTTGCATTGAAGTTGAGAATTCTTTCCTTGTTTGTGTTAAACCCCTCTTTCTACATCTCACATTAGCAATGAATTTTCATTTTTGTGTTTGCTTATTTCCAGCATCACTAGTTTGCCATGTAAATGAGAAGAACTGTGAGATCCAGCAGAAACTGGACTAATAAGGAAAATAACTCTCATACTGAAACAGAAAATTCTTCCATAATACGGGTAATAGAAAGTTAGAGGCAAGATAGATTGCTATTGGCATAAATGTTCTCATTTCAGAGAATACTGTTGCAGTCTGCCCCAGTATGAAAGTTCTTTTTTTAATTGCATTGCAGTTCTTTGGAAAGTGTTTGCTTATGACCAAAATAGTAACAAGAATGTACCAGAGATGCTTAAACAATCTTTTCCAGCCTCCAGTGGGACCAAGACAGCATCCGTCCATTGCAAACATATTTTTCACATCTATTAGTCTTCCAGTGTAACGTAGTTTTTAACTGTCACATGGTCTCACAGCATCCTAATAGTATCTCTTGGGGAAAATATTTTTCCTGACACCATATCAGGGATCCTTAGGAATAGAAACAGAAAATACTAGGCTAGTGATCTACCTCCATCTGCAGATTGCCAGCAGCTGCAAGTTGTCAAATAGATATATTGATTTAATTAGTCAGGCTAAAACTATTGCTTTTTCCATTGAAGCATGATACAATGAGTTAGTGGTGGGTTTAGGTACCATACTGCACAATTCTCAGCTAGCACCTGTGACTGTAGTCAGAAAAAAAACCCATACAAGTTGTAGCTTTCAAGGAAGTACTATATCTGTATACTTGTACTGTGAAATACTTTTACCAGCCTCAAATATTGGTTTTCACAAAACCCTGTCTACTTATCCATGCTCAGCAAGTTAAACAAGTTATTTTACTGTGTGTGTTTGAGAGGAGTAGCAAGGTAGGAATTGGGAAAGGATATATGAACCAAATGTCGTTTCTGATATCCATAACAAGGGGTCTATTCTTCCAACATAGGCAGCTCTCTGAAGCTTTAACAGAGGCTGTTAGGCTCTCCTTGGGGCTTTTAGTTTGATTCCTGGCTTGTGAGGAGCAAGCAGGACTTTGTGATTGTAAGTTTACATTCCATGTGGGATGCTTTCCATTTTTTGTGGAGTGGTCCTTTCTGTTCATTTTATTATTTGCATAGTACCGACCAGAGAACTCTGTTAGGTATTTCCAGCATCAAATCCACCAGTTCTGTCTGAGCTATGGCTTTGAGAAAGATGTTCAGTATTGATTTAATACTTCAAATGATGGAAGTTTTATCACATTCTTTCATAAGGTGTTTCAGTGGTTAATTGTATTGACTCTTTCATGCCTTCTTATTAAATTAAGCACACTAAGAATTACAACTCTGTATCTATTTTTATCTCTAAGTGTATCTATTTTCTATAAATTATTTTTGTAGCAGCTTTCCAAACAGTTTTCCAAATTTTTAGCATACTTCATAGATCCATTTTTGCAGTAATCGTCTCACTAATTCCAAAGATGTTATATTTTTCCATTTATCCATTTCGACTATTCAGTTGTTTATGCAGTCAGAGATCATATTTGCCCTTTCATTTGTAGCATTTCATTAGTAACTCTGGCTTGGTTAGCTGCCATCATCTAAATTCTTCTGACTTTTGCTGTCTTCCACTATTCCTTTACTCCTTCCAGTGTTCCTTTATGTTATCATCACAGGCTCTTTTGTCCATGTTGTTCCTCAATATATGATCTGGCATTTGGCTATATTTTAGTGCCAGATTGTTAGACTGTTAGACTAAGCACAACCAACCTACTTAATGGTCCAGACTGGTGTGTGTATCTCCTCTGTCTCCCTTGTTTACTACTTCCCTATCCTTGCAGCAGGAAGTACTTAAACCTTTCCGTACAGAAATTGAAAAAATGGGCCCAGGATGTCTGTTTCACTTGTCTATAATCGCTTTCATCACTTGCCTAATCACAGACCACCTGTACTTCAGGGCACCTGAATTAGACTAAATAAATTAACAATGCATTATTTTTTATTTTATTAGGATGGTTGTGCTTGGAAATCTGCATAGTCTGAAAATCCACAACCCATGTTCTGAAACCTGTGTAATGGATGTATCTTAAAAGTTACCTTTGTAAGATGAGAAGTATAGCTGGTATAGCTAGGGCCGTTGGATTTACTTCATGCTGATTGCTGATGGGGTTGAAGATTTTTTTTATTTTTGTTTGTTTGTTTGTTTTCTTTTAAGAATTTTGTGGTGTAATAAAGCCACAGAGCGCCACTGTTTGTTCTGGACATCAGTCTGGCGCATCAGCATCATACATTTTAAAATTTGAACACTAAGGAGCATGATAGTGGTGAAGAGAAGCCATGCTTCCTGGAGAGCGCATGTGTATTTTGTGCAGTTCATGGAAACTGTCATCATATTTTACAAAGGTTACTGAAAAAGATAAATTTGGAGTTTTTTCCTCTCAACTAGTTTAATTTGTGCTAAATTTGGATACTATTCTTGTAGGCACGTGCTGCAATATGATTTCTCAAGTTGATAATGACTGGTTTGGATTTATAAACCAAGCCAATAAACAGTAGTTGTTTGAGTACACATAGGTATTTTTATGCACTGTATACTGCATGAACAATAACGTTGATTATATGAAGACCACATTTAAAAATCCAATTTAGATGTCTTCTCATTGCATTCTCAGGATTTCTGGCTCCAGAAGGGTTTATTAACCCAGGAGCATCACTGTGATTATATTTACAGACTGTTTCCAGACCAGAGCTGTACTTACTGTGCTACACCCAGGTTAATAAACCAGCATAGATCCAGTTCTGGAGATTAGATTTTGGATTAAAGAAGGAGTTGTTCATACTTGTATCTTTATACTGATGCTGAATTTAAATATTAACAGTGGATCTACTAGGGCAGATCACAGGTTCATTCAGAAATGAGGTCTTTTTCAGTAGGCAGCATTGGATACATAAGCATAAGGCAAGTATTGAATGATGTTTTGGCCAGTGTAGAGACTTCTTGAACCAGATGTTATCCGCAGTCTTTGTTTTTAATAAGCCCTTGATGAACATTGCTTCCCCTGAATTTCTGAAGACTTTTTTGGAACTTGTGTGTACTTTTAATATGAAAAATACTTTCCTGTAGTGAGTACCAAACTGCATTATGTATTGTGTGAAAAATACTTTAATACAAGCCAGGTTATAATTTCATAATATGACCTATGAGAGTAAATGTTTCTTTCCTCTTCAGCTTTTCCTAAATTTTTGTTATTTAATGTATGTCAGTGATACCCTCAGCTTTCTGTCTTTCATGCTTTCTCCCATTATGTGTGTTCTCTTGCCACAAATGAAAACTGTTTTCCACCTCTGATTATTATTCTTTGTCAATACCTTTTCTGGTTTTGCTTGAATTGAGGGAGTGGGGTTGCTCAAGAACAGAATGCGCTACACCTTTCTGGAATATCATGCTATGATGTGTTCTTCAGCTGTTTCTTAGTAATTCAAAATGCTCTGTAGACATTTTCTGCTCTTGGCTGAACAGTGAACTGGTATTCCTGTAAAACTGTTCACAGTGGCTAGAACGTTTTACTAATAGATGCCAGTCACATTGCAGCATTGTATTTTATGGATGTATTTTAGAATACTTCTTTTCATGTGCATTATTTTACCTGTATGATCAAATTTCCATTGTCATTTTATCATCCAGTCACTCAGTATTATGAGATTACCCTTTTAGCTATTACAGGTTGTGCTTTGTGGTCGGCATATATTGCCGGATTTTAAAACTAGTGTGAAACCTGCAAGCAAGTCAAAGTGTAGAAAGCTAAAGTAGTCAGTGCGAATCTGTGTGCACGTAAACATAAAGAGAACAGAAACAAGTACAAAGTTCACTGTCTGCTCTGGAGGGTATGGTAAAATTATGCATTCTTTTTTCAGAATAACTGAGTGACATTTAAATGACATTTCTTTGTCCTACAGAAATCAAAGGAAAATACCAGAGTAGTTTGTAAGCGCTGCAAGACAATGCTGGGAGAAACAGTATCATCAGGTATGGGATGTACAAAACCAAACTAGATGTCACTGTATTAGCCATTGAGCACTGGAGGTTAAAAACTCTGGAAAATAGTTTTATCAGTAAGGTGTAGCGCTGATTCATGTGTTTATCTTATTCCCTTCTGGAACAGATGAGGTTGTTGCTTCCACCATTAGACCTTGAAAGTGAGTTACAGTGGGGTTTTTCCTCATCCTTTTTCCTGTGGTGCATTGGGCTAATTCCAGAGTTTTAGAAGACTCAATGCATGATTCGAGTTTAAGTGAAAAAGGAGACCTGTCAGTCCTACAGAATAATGGAAAGGTTAATTCACAATTTGATAACACAGAACTAGAAGCTAAGGATATGATTGCTGACAACCAGCCTGGTCTTACGGGAAGGAAGCCTTTGTCAAAGAAATAGGTTCTCTCATCATCATTTGGTGATGAGATGATGAGATTATTGGTTTAAAAGCTGTCATTATATTGAATCAGCAGGGTTTACCTGAGGTAGTGTAAAGATGAGTCTCTGGTGGTTTTTAAAAGGCAGTTATTAACAGGAGAGAAGCAATGTTAAGATTGTTACTAGCAGGGTTCATTCTTTTATTCTCTACTCCACTGCATCAGTCAGCATGAGCCTGGCTCAGTTCAAAGATCTGGAGAACATAAAAACTTCTCAGAAAATGCAAGCTTGTTTAAGAAATAAGTCATGAGGAGATGCAAGACAGAAGGGTGTCTGTTACTGAAGGTTCCAATTGTCCTGAACAGAGATTTGAACAGTACAGGCTTTAATAAAACCAAATTGAAGGTAAGATGTATGAAAGCCAGCCAAGCAGGTTGTGACTTTGGGAAAGCAGTATTTGGAAAGAGCTTCACAGATCTTTGTGATTAGTAGAATAGATGCCTTAATCTAGCCTTCAGATAGCTGTAGCAGCCAGTAATTGATATGATCAGTGGGTATGGGAAAAGGAAAATACTGTGTAGGTGTGCAAGGATTTGGTCCTCTGAGCATGGCTGAAGTTAGATAAATATCCATGTTTCTTAAGTACTATAGAAAATCTACATAGAGTTCAAAAAACAGACAGAAAGACTAGACAGAAATATATGGTATAAATCTAGGCAGAACCCTCTTTGTGGCACGAGAATATGGAGCAGACTTGACTGTCATGCTTTGCTGCTTCCTCATGAGCAGATACCAGTGCCAGATAAAACTGGATTAGTGGTGTAGCTGTGGAGGCCAGATTTGCCTTTGAAATGCCCCTGTCAGCCTTTGAAATTCCCCAAATCTATCCCCCTATACTTGTGTGATTTTTATTCTTGGGAAATCCTACCCTTTGTCTCTCACCAGGCAAACATCTTCCTCATTCCCAATGCCCTTGCAGCAGTAGCACAAATGCCTTACCAGGTTAACACCTGGGTAGCTAGGGTGAGTAAATTGGCTTCTTTTCCTCCTGTCTCTGAGAAGTAGGGACAGCATGGAGCAGACTAAAATTACACTCAAAGGTAGCATATAATTTCCCAACAAAGGATAATTAAAAAAGTGTAGTATTTATCTGGAGAAAGGGTGGGATTGTTAAGACTTTGGATTATTTAAAGCAGATCAAGTGTCTTCCTGAAATGCTTGCTTTCATCCAGTTTTAATGGTGTGTGTGGATGGAGATCAGGTAACACAGTCCCTTCAACCCTTAAAATTTATGGAACTGATGAATCTTTACTGTTGTTCACATGCTAAAGCTTAGTGGAATGAAGTTTATTACTGTGTATGTTTAACCTGTTCTGATGGTCCTCTGGTTGGACTGTTTGTAGCATAGACCCAGAGCTTCAATATGATCATCTTTGACCTGACTTTACTGATGGGGATTAAATTCTGTACTCAAACACTTCCATTTAGTGTTAAAGGCACAGTGGAGCTTTTTGGGAACAATTACATTGAAACCCAGAATGTGTGCAGTATTAGTGTAGAGTTAGTGCGGTTTTTGGAAAGAAGTTCTATTCCGCTCTTTGAGCAAAGAAGAAAATTATTCCCCTGTGTGTGCTGTTATTAAAACTGTCTCTTGTGATTCACTGCAGCAGAGGGTACTAAAATACTTATGCAAGCTGTGCTGATCTCGGTACTTTAGGAAAGTCCTTTCGATTCATCTTTCAGGTTTGGCTTGAGCTCTTGCTTTGTTTCAAGATGATTGTTCTCATCATTAAACAAGGATCGATATGAATGATAAATTGCTGATCATGTAATTAGCTCAGAGCAGTTTTCTTCTGGCAATGTATGTTATCTCTTATTGTTTGCTTCTCCTCCCCCAAACCAAAGCAGAATTTGACTACCTGCTGCACCTCTTAATTGAGTGCTGAACAGAAGCTTAATTACTATAGTGATAAAGTGATTTGCAGTCTACTCTTAACAAGTCGGTTATTCTACTGTACTTGAAAAATGTCTTTGTCGTTTTAGATACCATTAAATATTATGTCACTGAGGTGATTATTCAGCCATCTGATGGAAATTTCAGCCCAAAACCCAGGTAATAAACATTGAAAAAAACCCAAGTAATTTGCTCAAGTTAGTGTTTTAGAAGGGATGCTTGAAATACAGTAACATTTTAATTTCTTGAATAATTATATATAATAAAAAAGTGCTGTCACATTTTATGTAATAATCACAGAATTAAGCACTGTAAAGGTAATGTAGTATGAAGTCACTCATGTAAAATTTTGTTTGCTTATGTTTGTGTGTGATGCAGGAAAGAGATTGTGTATAATTTGTTGCAGTTTCTCACTACCTAGGTGATAAGCCAAAATCCAATACTTATTTTTTTTTAACTTAATAGTTTCCATGACTAAATATGGAAATGCAAGGTTAAATTATGTAAAATTAAGTAAAGTTTGAATTGTTTATTTGGAAGTAAGATTTTTGAATTTTCAAGTAATTCAGATCGAAGTTAAGACTAAGATGAAATAGAACATCATCTAGCTGTCTTGTGTCATGTACTATATGTTCTTCTGTGAATTGTATTTGAAATATGTGCATCATTCTGAACTTTATGTTCATATGTGTAAAAGAAAACGGAAAAGCTTTTATTCAGCATTTGACATTTGATATTGGTCAAAATAAAGGATGTGGAGCTATCAAAAAAATTTATCTGCAGGAAATGTTTTGAGGGAGAGAAAGACAAAGAAGCCCCATCTCTCATTAAAAAGTGATTGTAGGATGTAGTGGAATCAATAGTATGGAGATACTCATCTACTTGCACTGTATTTATATGAATGACTTTGCCCATGTAGTTGTTAATGGAAACGTATAATAAGGGGCTCATTTTTAAACAGGTCTCAGTTCATACAGGGTATGGTTGCTCAGTGTCTTGTGGAATTGTCCTCTGCAAAAAGCACATTTAGATTCACCTTGAAAGGGGATAATGGAAAAATCTACATTCTGGTAAGATTTTTTTTTTTTTTTTAAACTTTATCCTGCAGAAAAAAAGATTAACCTATGAATCGTAGCTCCTAAAATGTATTATTTATGCTGTTCATGATTGTATGCTTAATGAAAATTAACAATTTCAAATTCTTGAAGTAGTTCTGAAAAGATATGTTCAAGTAAGAAATTTTCCCCTGGACTTTAATCAAGGTAGATATACATAGAGAAATTTTCTGTATTAATACAGTAATGAAGGTACTACAGATGTACTGCAAGTAGCACAGAAATAACGCTGTGTTTTGTATTCAGAAAATAAAGCTTATTTTTTTACTTCATAATATATATATTCTTGCTCCAGTGCTTCTTATTTTAATCACTAGAAGTTCATCAAATTGTGTCGCATCTTTCACAAATATTGTCTTAAGTCAGCAGAGACTAGTAATGTAGTCATTACATTGCACTGCAAAGTGAAGTGCAACCAAAAATAAAATTGCCTATTATATTTAATGTTCTAATGCTGTTAAACTTGGTTAAGCTTGATACTTAAATAGTGACAGCTGAATTCCTCAAACTTTAAAATGGAAAGGAATTTGGGACTGGAATTATCTCAATACTATATACTTGGTGTAACAAGGGATGTTTTCTTTTGGTCGTGAACTAAATATAGGCAGTAATTTTGGAGTTTGTATGAGTAATTCAAAGACACATAAAAAAATACATGATTATAGATTCCTGCCCTGTGCAGTACAGGTGCACTTTTTTGAGGTAGGAAATCCAGTTAAATAAACCATTTTACATATACATTGTCCAAGTTCTATGATTTCTGAACATCCAGATTCTGAGGTGTCTGTCTATTGTTTTTAAATAAATTTTACTGCATTTACACAGCCACTGAGAAATGCTTCCTCTGTGATGATAAAGTCTCATAACGAGGCCCCAAATTCTCACTGTGTATAATCTAATTGAGAAGTCATTAAAAATTGTTGTGGTTTTCCCCTTGAATAGCTAGGTTACATAATATTCTGATGCTTAAATCTACTGGCTTGTGTAGGACAAGCTGGCTATTTTCTATCAGAAAAATCACCTTATTTAGCAGATTGCAATTAATCTTAGCTAAGTTGCTTTTTTGCCAGTGTATTGATTAGAGGAGCAGGCTGGCTTCTGATTGGCATCCCTTCCTTTTTATTAGTGAGTTATTAATACTTTTTGTGTTTGTTTAACATCAGAAAGCCCTTACTCATGTTCAGGGTAAGGTTCTAGGTACTGTACACACACCCACAGGTGTTCTGGTGTCATTGGTTAAGTCTTAGGACTCAGAGACCTTGTGGAGACAAGTGTAATGTTAAGCACTGCTAATATTAATGATTGCAAACAGCTAAACAGTAAAAAATGTGGGTGTTTGAGGCTGTGAGTGCACAGCCAAGTTAGACAAGTGGTCTAATCACTGGTGCATCATGGACCAGCTGTCCCACTTGTTTGTTTTGACAACGAGCCAAAGATACTCATTCACAGTGTTTGTGCCTGCATATCTGAATGCACACAGCTTAGTCTTTGTATGTGATAATTAAGATTGAGTCTTTTTAATATTTTTTTAAACCACAGATATTATATATACTCATTTTCCTTCTTTCCTCTGCATGTATCACTTAACATTACCAGTAATAATATTTGCATATACCATGAGTTTCTGTTAAGTTGGTCATAACCAACTTCCTGAAAGTTGTATAGGACTTATTTGTTGTTTTTTTTTCTTTAAAAGATGACAGTAAATAAAAGTCTTTGTTTCAGGAAAAGAAAAAAAAAGTGGCATATACAGATTTCCTTATTTATCCTAAATATATATCTGTCCTCTTCACGTTCGCTAAAAGATGAATCACTTGCGTCCTTTCTTTGCTCCACTGTTGAAGGGCTCCCTATCTTGGAGTTGCATGACTTGCAATCTCAGAATAAGATGTGGACCTCAAACAGATAGTGAGAAAATGGTACATTACTGGTCATTATAGCAGCATCTTAATAGATGTAAGGTTTTTTCTGTACTATAAGGATAGGTTTGAAAGAGGTAAATAAATAATTTTGTGGATAGATAAACCCACAGAAGATACACCTGTGAAAATCAAACTGTGTATGGTAGAGTTAGGAATGTTTGAATACTGACTGCAGTCTTCCAGTACTGACTGAAAGATGTTTTTTTTGTAGTGGGATTAATCTGTAAAGTACTTTGAAAGTAAGGTGCAGTTTGTATTTCAGGAGTGAGTGGAGAGGGAGTGGGAAGATATCCTGTTACATAGATAAATATATGATAAATCAGAGAGACCTGATCTGTAAATCAGGTACTGGTTCTTGTACCATGTCTGGGAGGCATGAGCAGAACAAGTTTGCCTTGGTCAAGGTTTGAGGGGTAGATGTTGCAGTGATCAGGATGTGAGATAATGAGTACCTTGTTGAGACTATCCAGCTCTCCTAGAAAGCTTTATTCTTTGTGAAGTATAATGAAACCATCTTTATCTGAACAGTCTGAATGTGAGGACAAAGGAGCTGTCATGAAAGATGTTTACATTACTGAGCTTTTCTCCTAAGAACATCTTTGAAGCCTACTGATAAGGTGATTAAAAAAAAAAATACATCTAACAAACAAACAAAAAAAAAAAAGAAAAAACAGCCGAACACTTTCTCTTGATGTTGTCATTTCAAAAAAGGTCATTAATCTGCACTGTGAATGAATTCTAAACTTTATATATTTATCTTTCTGTAAAGGTTCTTTTCATACTGGAGATAATATCAAAGGAATTTGGTTCTTCAGGCTTTGCTGTACAAAATGGTAGAGAGGAAGGAAAGATTGTACATTGTAGGTAACAGTTGAAAGCACAGTTCAAAAATTGAAACTGTGTTAGCCAGGAATAACATTTATAAAGTGCTTTGAGTCAACACACAGTCTTAGTGAGTGATTGTTCAGACAAAAGCAAGATCAAAAATAATTCATGCATGAGGAAAAGAAAATTACTGCCTGAAGAATCAAATGTAGTTCAGATGTTGATTTTCTAATGGCCAAATGTCCTTCTGCCCGCAGAGATGCATTTACTTTCTCTGTATTGTTTGCTAAATTATTAATGCAGATCTCTTGCATTGCTGTTGAGACAAAGACATACTCTGAACGAGTGGTAGAATGTTACTGTCAGATGCCATGTATCAGATGCCACTTGTGGTAGAAGGAAGTACTTTTCTAATAGGCCATGTTGCAAAATAAATGGTTTGGTTGCTTCTGTAAAGCAAGTTGCAGAAGGATTCTGAATGCAGCAGACAGCCATTGCTACTTTGTTCCCTAAAATAGTTTGAAGGATATTTCTCTTCTGAAAAGCATCCCAGGAGGCTCCTTTACAGGGAAGTTTTGATAATTTCAAAAGGAAGGAACTCTAGTTAAAGGTAAGCATATTAGCAGTTCCCTGTATGTACAGGACACTTCTCTTTTTTCCCCATTTTCTCTGACACATCTTCAACACTTGGCTTAAAGTACCATCTGTAATGGTCCTAGCTAATGAGGTATTTTGCAGTTTAGGCTATGAATGTGTACAGTGAGTTACTGGAGCAAATCTGATGAACAGCCACTTGCTAAGCCAAGTGCAGTTGCTTGTCATCATTTATGTGCGTGTGCTCAAGTGATTCTCCTCCTCCAATCCCTCCCAAGACATCTTTATCAATATATCTCATTCCTCCTTTATGAACCTTCCACTGTAAAGTTCTGATCCTTGGGCTCTGATAAATTGTGACTGTCACATTCAATTACAACATATACTATGTGTCCTACAGGGGATATAATATGTCTGCTACCTAACATCATGTAAGTTGTTTTACTTGAAGCTGATTAGGTCATGAGAAGCAACAGATTATTCTCTAGTGAGCAGCACTGCATAAATCCTGTTTTCTATGATAAATATTTCATATATAAACATCTCACACAGGCTCAGGACTTGTATAAATTTATTTCCACTGGTAAGTCAGATCACTACTTCAGGTTGTGAATAAAGGAAAAGCCTGACTTGTTTTTTATACAGTGCTTATCATGACAGTCCTGAATCACAAGTTGAAACACTTGCACAGAGATTAAATGCACCACATTATGCACGATCGCGTAAAGATTAAAAAAGTTCCATAATGTGGTGCAAAATGGTCAGATTTCTCAAAACACTCCTCTGTGAATACCCAGTGAATTGCAGTGAGCAAGTAGTGCTGAAGAATGCCAGTCCCATAGTCAAATTAAAAATTAGACTTTTTCCTTGAATGTTTAACTCCATCCAGTCATTACTGTCATGTTTTTTCTAAAAATCCTTAATTTTTGGTAGTTCCAGTGGGCTGTCTTTCGGTTCCCTGTGTTTAGCCCTCAGTTGTTGAACGCCATATGCTCAACTAATTCATAAAAAACCACTATGAAATTAGAGAAATAATCTGTTTGATACTGAAACAGATGACTCAGGACTGTTTCTTCTGTTACCACCAAAGGGAATGTGCTACAGTCACAGAAAGAGGCAGCTTCACAGAAATAATGATCTTAAGAGTGACTGTGATAAATCAGGCTTCAGTTTATTGTATTAACCCACTTTTCTCTTTGAGAGGCTGTGCAGACTGTGCTGAATAATAAAATGTCAATTTATGTCTATTAACACTTTGTTAGAAACTTAGTAAGAATGCAGCTTTTGTATCAGCTGATTTAGCATCAGAGTGAAGGAACAGTATAATAAATAATTTCTTCATTTGTAGATATGGCTTTTAAATTCTGACACTTTGCTGGTGGAGTCTTCAGGAAGTTCCTCCTCCCATGATGTTTTTACACCTTTTGGAGATATTTTCATGCCTAGCTCTGGACCAGCAGGAACCTGGAATGCTGTCAAAGTCCTTTACCAGCCATGCATTAAAAGCAGGAATAAGGAGTAAGTACAGCCTTTTCTGACCTCAGGTTCTGATCTTTGCATTTGAGATGTATCTCTTTGAAATAGCATATTTTTTAATTTTTTTTTTATTTTTTAAACACAATGCTGGTAGAATATTACTTGGTTTCTATTACAGCCAAAGAGAATCTAGTTGTTAAATATTTGCATCATAATAATAAAACACAAACCAGAGAGTTATGTTGTTTGTAGTGGCACACTTGGGTTACATGTGTATGTATATGACACAAATAGAAGTTGTTTCTGTTACATGTGAGAGTAATGTCCTTTTCAATTTATGTTTGTTTTTTTTTTTTCCTGCTGTCTTAACTTATAAAACCATAGAATAGTTTGGGTTGGAAAGGAGCATAAGATCTTCTGGTTCCAACCCCCCTGCCATGGGCAGGCAAACCTCCCACTAGACCAGGCTGCTTAAGTCCTCGTCCAGCCTGGCCTAGAACACTAACAGGGATGGAGCATTTGTCACTTCTTTGGGCAACCCATTCCAGTGCCTCACCGCCCTCACAGGAAAGAACTTCTTCCTTGTATCTAACCTAAATCTCCCCTGTTTAAATTTGAATCCATTACCCTTGTTCTGTCACTACAGTCCCTGATGAAGAGTCCCTCTCCAGCATTCTTATAGGCCCCCTTCAGATACTGGAAGGCTGCTCTGAAGTCTCCACACAGCCTTCTCTTCTCCAGGCTGAACAGCCCCAAATTTCTCACCCTGTCTTCATATGGGAGGTGCTCTACAGCCCCCTGATCATCCTTGTGGTCGTCCTCTGGACTTGCTCCAACAGTTCCATCTCCTTCTTTGGACACTTTTAAAGCCTGATAATATTTCCAGCTCTGTTGGCAGAAGCTGGAAGGATAGTGGTGTTGTAAATCCCATGGAGGGTCAGTGAGTTCCATACGGTCTCAGAGCATGCCACTCTGCAGCTGTAGCTCCAGGTGATGTAATTCAAGGAGGAGGCAAAATTGGGGAGAGATAAGGAGTATGGGCTGACTTGTGCATGATGCATGAGTTTAGCCAGATCTCCCTCTTCACCTTCAATTTCTTTGTTTTTTTTGTGAAAATCTGATCTCAGCTGTGAAGTTGTTTATGGGAAAACTCTCTGCGCTCCCACAGTAAAGAATTTGGACCTCTTTAGTACAGCTGAAAACAAGAGGGTAGAAGTGGGTAGTTACTAGTTCAGCAAATTGTACCTGTCTGTTCCATCTTCGTTCTTGACCTTTTTTGCCTTAAAATTGTGCTTTGTTTTGTAAGAGAAATTGCTGTTTACAGGACTGGAATTTGTGTGCTTAAGCCAAGGTATTTTCAGTACTACAGGGGTTGTCTCATGGGTCACAATAAATTAGCAGAAAGATCATGTCTGTATACATGGACAGTGGTGGTATTATTTCAGAAAGAAAGGAGACCCTAAGAGAAGGGGAAAGAGGTGAGGAAGGTGGCTGAGTACAATGCCATATAAGTGATTTTCTTGGATGTGTTCTGATTTTCTTGGATGTGTCTAAGTCTGCTGGAGGCCTCATAAAGGAAACACTTGATTTCAGCAAAGTCTACGTTATGAAAAACACACACTGCCTAACATGTTAAAGCCTTTATTTGTTGGAGAGCAAAGATGAGAGAAAATTGATTCAGCAGTGGCTCCAGTGTTTGCAGGTGACGGAATATGATTTTCGCATAATTTTCTCCTTTTGTTTCTGCAGTGCAAAGAGAAAGTATTGCTTTTGCATAGGTCATACTCAAATAGTGGCTTGGTTTTGTTGGTTTTCCTTTAAACTCTTGGAAACTGGATGACAGATTTAAATAGGTACAACTGTATTTAAAATTTAGGAGACATTCCCTCCAGACTTAGAACACAACTAATTTATAGCCCAAGACCTCGTAAAAGTCCAACAAAAATGTTGTTTCACACAGACAAACAGACATGTGCTTATGAATTTAAATATTTTTCTGAAGAAATACACACCTTACAAGAGTGTATAATTCATCATAGTCTTTATCCTGAATGTGGCCAAGTGCATCCTTTTTATTTTTCAAACAGATCCAATATTGAATAGCTAAAATGAACTCGACATATGGAGAGAATTCAAAATCGCAATATTTAGAGAAAAGGTCATACTACATTATTAATGTTATTAATGTAAGAGAAAAAAATACCTTTATTAATGTAGTAGACTCAGAAGGTGGCATTGGAAAACATCTGTGATCTAAATTGTTATTTGATCCAAACTACATCTTAAGAGTATTATAATTTAAACTGTGTACTCTTAGAATGGGAGATGCCGCAAGAACCACTACCTGCTCTAAAATAAAAGATGCTTCCCTTACCACTCTTAGGTTTTACAGAAGCATAACTTACAGTTTTGCTTTTCAAGTTTTGATTCTTTATCACTGAGAAAATTTAATTACCTTAACATACGTTCAGGTAAAATGACTTTTTATTGAGATAAAATTCATACCTACTTGGTCACTTACCTAGCATTCACAAATGCTTTTCTTGAATGGAGTTCTCAGCAGCGTAATTTTACCATGAGGTTACATTCATTTCTTTCCATTTCCCCAGACAGACTTGTTACAAATCACTTATTTCTGAAGATTACATTGTATTTATCTTTGGGACTTTACAGTGAGCAGAAGGTGCAACTGAGGTTTTAATTCTCCTCTGATGGTAATGGACATCTTCCCTACCCAGTCCCTGGACAAATGCAGTAACAGAAGAGAAAGAACAAAGAGTTCTTTTTAAGGTTCAGAAGCCAAAGTAACTATTGATTTAGTATTGTTTTCCCATTTCTATATTTTTAGTAAAGAACAGTAGAAAGGACATTAGCACTTCAGTCTGTTTCCACTAACTCATTTATCAGTTGGTTTGAAGTACTGCCTGGATGTGTGCAAAGAAACTGAAGTCTTTCTGTATTGAACAGGAAGGTAAACACAGCAGAAACAAAAATATGAAAACCAGTACAACTTATTTAATGCAGTGTATTTGCATTTAGATCTCAAATATGATTTCTGATAAAATTCTGAGCAAAATGTCTGATTTCTTGAACAGTTCAAGTTCCAAATGTTTTAGATGTCCACATTCCGATAATAATTGTAATACTTACCTTGCTTGTTTCTGCACACACACCTGCCTTTGAAATAACAGAAAGGTTCCAGAGCACATGGTTTGCTCCACAGAAGTGGGGAGAGAGCAAGGATACCCCCTGTGTCGGAAGTAGTCAGCAGGAGGTCTGCTTTTGATCTATACCCCAACATTTGCAAAGGATAGGCATGCACTCCAGTATCCTGTTGCAGGTCAGAGAGCCTATTCAGCTGTTGCAAGTCACTGACTACACTTGGGTCCTGTCTGATTCGTGCAGTGACAGAATCTGATCAGTGCAATGGGAGGGGAAGCACCTTTCCTAACTGTGGACACTGTGGAGTCTGTGGTGGGAAGCTTGGCCATAGGTTAAGACAGATTAAGGTAAACTAGAAATAAAGGCATTTATTTGTAATATGTAAAAATAATAGCATAATCACACATTTGTAAAACGTGGATGAAGAAATGAAAGACAATCTCTACTTAGTCTTCTTCCACAAGCATAAATCTTTCTCTGAGATAAGTTCCATGGTAGCATTTTTGGTCTTGGGCTTTGTGAAATTCTCCGCTGGCAAACTGCCTCTGCTAGAGAGAGCCTAACTGGCATTGCACAGTAATTCATGTTCAGGCACCCCCTTTTTGAAGGAACCCTTTGATTCAAATTCCTTGAGATGCACTTGAATGTTTCTCTTGAGGGGAGCATAGTATCTTTTATATGTGACCTTTCTTTTCAGGACTTGTACCATGTCAGCAGAAATTCACGGTCTTACTCCAAACCTCTCTTTATTCTTTCTTTACTCAGAGCAATTTTGCAATTATTCATAATTAGCATAATGCTTATTTCTCTTCCTCAGATGCAGAAATGTTTTTTTTCCCTTAAACTAGGAATTATGTCCTATGAGCAATACTGTGCTTCAGTGAGCAACAGAACTCTCTTTCCTCCAGTAAATCACTGGCGTATCTATCACTGTCCTTATATTCAGTATTATTCTGAACAGTAACAATGCAAAGGAAACAAATGTTTAAGTAGGGTAAATGTTCATGGTTCATTGCTGGCTGTAATTACCGAGTTTGAGATCATCAGGACAGTGAGAAGAGCATGCAGCAAGCTCACTGCCCTGGATTTCAAGAGAGGAGACTTTGGCCTCTTCAGGAACCTGCTTAGTAAGGTTCCATGGGATATAGCCCTAGAGGGCAGGGGGGCCCAAGACTCTTCGTTGATATTCAAGGATCACCTGCTACAAGCTCAGGAGTGTTGCATCCCAACTAGAAGGAAGTGCAGCAGGAGGGCCAGGAGACCTTCTTGGATGGATAAGGAGCGCCTGAGAAAAATTCAAAGTTAAAAAGAGGCTTATAAAAAGTGGAAGCAAGGACAGGCAGCCTGGGAAGAATACAGGGGTGTTGTCTGGGAAGCTGGGGACCAGGTTAGGAAGGCTAAGGCCCAGTTAGCATTAAACTTGGCTGGGGATGTGAAAGATAACAGGAAGGGATTCTGTAGGTGGCTTGGCTTGGCTTTGCGAGCGAAGATTTGGGAAGGGCTTTAAATATGCTTACTACAGGCACGATGACCAAGGGCAAGTGGGATATCCAAATCTGGTTGGAAAAAAAGGCTGCTTAGGCAATCCGGAAGTGTCTGACCATGACTGTCAACTCCTGAGCTAACTAGAGCTACCCATGCTCTGGTCCACCCACATGCAGCGTTGGATCTGCAGCTTCCCATGCACCTTGTCACCTACCATTTAGACCCTTGCCCATCCATATAGACAAGTGAAGTAAGCCCTTCCAGCCTGTGCAGTGGATTTTTTAGGTGAACCTCAGCTTGCGCAGAACTGGCCCCACCCTTTAAACCTGAGGTTTGACTGGCACAAACTAGTTAGCTAGGACGGTAACAGCAAGGTCCACGGGTCATAGGTTTTG